TGCCAACAGAGGCAGTGTTCAAGTTGTACTTGTCTTTGTTCTAATTTGTAAAGGCTTTAATGTGTGTTGTTCTCAGCTCCTCATGTCAGTTGCACACAACATATTTTAATATATCCCCCGTGAGTCCTATTATGTCTCTTTCTGTGAATATATACATGTATACATGTAACCTTAATGAATTCAGATGTACTGACGGAGTAGGAAAGAAAGAAGTAAAATCTTTTATTGCATGTACTCTTATGTGGAAACAAAACTGCCTTAGTCTGTTTGGGCTGATATAGTAAATACCACAGCCTGGATGGCTAGCAAACAACAGAAATTTGTTTATCGCAGTTCCGGAGGCTGGAATTCAGGAGCTGGGTGCCAGTATGATGGAGTTCTGGTGAGGGCCATCTTCTGGGTTACAATCTGCTGGCTTCTTTATAATTTTTCTGATTGTGATTTAGTTGTTTTCCTGAATATTGTACTTTTGCTTTTCCCAGATGATGCTGCTATACCTCCAGGGTCACCACCTTGAATGTCCATGATACTGCATAATAAATTGTTAGGAAATTGGGTGAACTATTAGTGACCTTCAGATAATCTCTAACCTGGAAGATTTGGGGTGATTGTTATATTAATTCCCAATAGTTGCTTGTGTTCCTAGGACCTGCATTTAAAAAAAAAAAATCTCATCAACCAAGAGTTTGGTTAATGTAGGTCTTAGAATACTGTTAATTTTTTTAAGATCTATTTTTTATTTATACATACAAGAACTGGGGTATAGGCCAGAGGTGTGGGGGGTGAGAGGAATCACCAGAGACAGAGTGGGGAACAGAACAGGCAGATTGACTGAAATAAACTGCTGAGAGGAGCAGTGGGCAAGTCAGGAGAGGTCTGCTGCGCCATGTGGGTAGCTCCCTGGTAGGGATCGAACTCATGCTGCAGTGGTTGTGGATAGCTTCATAAATTGTGTCTTAACCCCTTGCACCACCAGGGAGGCCCCTGTTAATTCTTTTTCTAAACATTGCATATACTCTGTACATCTTTAAGCACTTGTTATGATACAGTGTAGCAACCCTTGAGTCTATGTTCTGTTTATATGGCAGCTTTCATTTTATGGGCTTCCCCTAACCCCCATTATTTTGGATTAGATGCAATAGTTTATGTCTTTTAAAATTTTAAGTTAGATATTTGAGATTTTAAAAATATTTTTCCGGAGAAATGATAGTAATAGACTAAAACTGTTCAAAGTAGATTGTAAGGAACTACTAAAATCTTTCCAAATTCTATAGTTGAGCCTGGTAAAGTTTTTGCTGAGCATTCCTATGCTTCCATTACTGTCCCCATCTTAGTATCATCTAATTCTCTTTACATGGGAAAAAGTTACAGTGTGAAAGACTTGTAGTGCTTTTGGGAGCCATCTTTCTGCTGCCCCTACCATTTTTGCCTGGTGGAGATGGTGGAAGTGGGGTGGGGCCGGGGGGAGACCAAGAGAGGGGAGAGGGAGGTAGAGGTGGGGTGGTCTACCTACTGAGAAGATGCTGAGGATGACCAAATTCAAAGGAGCCAGCTATATTTTTATATACTAAGTTTATTAGTTGATGAGGTGTTCTGTATTTAATTTGGGATCATAAGAGCTCTTTTGGTCTGATGTTAATTAACCTGCAATGAGAAGGAGAACTACTGCAGAGGAGTAAAGAATTTGGCAGTTCATTGAACTAACTTAATTATAAAGCAGTCTTTCAAATGAATATTCTACAAATCAGCTATAATCTATCCACTGGTGCTGGATGCTCACAGAATAAGCAGTTGAGTTAGCCTGGGAATTTGATATTTGGCAGTGGATAAGTGGGTTGCTTGAATATTGACTTGAAAGTGATCAGAAGGATAAAATATTTTAGCTACACGAAAGTGAGGTTTGAAGGTAGAATGGGGCCTCCCTGGTGGTGCAAGGGGTTAAGGCACAACCTATGAAGCTATCCGCAGCCACTGCAGCACCAGTTTGATCCCCGACCAGGGAGCTGCCCACATGGCGCAGCAGACCTCTCCTGTCTCACCCACTGCACCCCTCAGCAGTGTATTTCAGTCAGTCTGCCTGTTCTGTTCCCCACTCTGTCTCTGGTGAATCCTATCACCCTCCTGCACCTCTGGCCTGGTATACAGTTCTTGTATGCATAAATAAATAAATCTTTAAAAAAAAAATAAAGGTAGAATGTATAGCATGACTATAGTTGATAACTCCGTATTATATAATTAAAATGTGCAAAGAGAGTTGAACTTAAACATGCATGTGTATCACTAATATATATCATATTTTATACATATGATGCTGGCTGTGTTAGCCAGAAGGGTTGAATCCTTCACAATGTGTATGTGTGTGTGTGTGTGTGTGTGTGTGTGTGTGTATAAAATCATCATCATGCACATTTAGTTTTTATTTGTTAATTATACCTCAATGAAACTGAAATTAAAAATAAAACAAAAGAAAGCAGTAGTCAAATATCATTAGGAAGGTGAAAAGGAAGTATTATATAGAGACCAGCATAAAAAAGCAACATGTCACTGGACTGATGTTTCCATTCAAACAAGAATACAAGCTTATTACCCTGGAATCTTAGCCATCATCATCATCATCATCATCATCATCATCATCCCCATCCCTCATATGCTTACCTTTAACTTCTCTGCCCTTTAATATTACCCAGAGCTTCTCAGGAATGCTGAAAAGTTGAGATTTTTATTTTATTTGTTCATTTTTTTTTAAAGATTTATTTATTTATTTATACAAGCACTGGGTACAGTCAGAAGCGCCAGAGGGTGAGAGAATTCACCAGAGCCAGAGCGGGGAACAGAACAGGTAGACTGACGAAATACACTGCTGAGGGGAGCAGTAGGCACAGCAGGAGAGGTCTGCGCACCATGTGGGACCCTTGCCGGCGGCCAGGGATCGAACCGGTGCTGCAGAGGCTGCGGGCAGCTTCGCAACCCATCGCTCAACCACTGCGCCACCCGGGAGGCCCAAAAGTTGAGATTTTTAAAACTGAAAAAAAAAAAAAAAAGACAGGAAGCCTGTTTTCTAAGGCTAAAGATAGTATGGACTCCTATAGCACCACTAGTCTATGTAATGAAGTAGCCAAGAATTTAAGCTGCTGAGCTGGGATTTCCAGTATTGTCTGCTTTATGGATAAATTAAATTCGTAAAAATTCAAATTTCACCCCAGGAAATGGGCAGTAAATTGATAGCTGGTAGCTCAACCAACAGGTACTAAAAAAGAATCTGAGATTCATGTATTTTTTTTTTTAAGATTTCTTTATTTATACAAGCCCTGGGGTACAGGCCAGAAGCGTGGAAGGGTAAGAGAATTCACCAGAGACTGCTGAGGGGAGCAGTGGGTGAGACAGGAGAGGTCTGCCGCACCATGTGGGAATCTCCCTGGCCAGCCGGGAATCAAACTGGTGCTGCAGAGGCTGCGGACAGCTTCACAGTGTTGCGTTCAACCTGCTGCTCCACCAGGGAGGCCCCATGTATTTTTTTTTTTAAGATATATATATATTTTTTAAAGATTTATTTATACAAGATTGATTGATTGATTTATACAAGCACTGGGTACAGTCAGAAGCGCGGGAGGGTGAGAGAATTCACCAGAGCCAGAACGGGGAGCAGAGCAGGCAGAAGGACCGAAGTACACTGCTGAGGGGAGCAGCGGGCGGCAGGAGAGGTCTGCGCGCCATGCGGGACCCTCTTCCAGTGGCCGGGGAGCAGCCGGGGATCGAACCGGCGCTGCAGAGGCAGCGGGCAGCTTCGCAACCCAGCGTTCAACCGCTGTGCCACCGGGGAGGTCCTAAGATATATTTTTATTTATGCATACAGGAGCTGGGGTGCAGGCCAGAGGTGTGGGGGATGGTGAGAGGATTCACCAAAGACAGAGGGGAACAGAACAGGCAGATCTACTGAAATATACTGTTGCAAGGAGTAGTGGGCAAGACAGGATAGGTCTGCTGCGCCATGCGGATTAGCTCCCTGTCTGGGGATCAAACTCATGTTGCAGTGGCTGGCGATAGCTTGATAGCGATAAACATTAACTCCTGCACCACCAGGGAGGCTGATTCATGTGTGTTTCAACCTGTCTTCCTGCTCTCAGACCCTGCAGGCTCTCAGACTCACAAAGGCGTCCTTACTTTCCAGCTATCCACTGTCTCCCACTCTTGTTACTCACAAGTATTGTTAGCAGAGGAGGCAGGCTCATGATGTACCTCAAGTACCTATTTTTCTTTCAAGATCCTCTGTACTTGCTGGTTGGACAGGACCTACCTTTAGGTCACAAGGTGATGAACATCTTTTTTTTATCCTGGGGTGTTTCCTTGCCTGGGTTTTACCATGTCCAACACCTGTGGATTCCTCAGTTCTGAAATAAAAGGGTAGATTTAGATGATTTCTCTTGCTAATTCTGCCTCTAAAAATCTGGGACTGAACTAGCTTAGCTTGGAAACAGCTGCTATATGGACATTGGTGAGAGTAATAGAATGGGTAGCCCTGAAAGGGACCTCAAATGTCATCTGGACCAACTTTTTCATTTCATAGATGAGAACATAAAGACTTACAGTGGCTGAGTACCTGCTGAAAACCAAGTAATTAGAAAGTTATACATAGGGAATGACAACTTTGACTTGATTTTGTTTTTGTTTTTGTTTTTTTTTGGAGTTATTGATTAGCATTCTGCATGATTAAAATTCAAAGTAATTGGGCTTAAGTTTCTCAAATAGATATGTTACTACAAAGTGATGTCTCGCTTGAATTTTCACTTGCATACCAATGACCCCCTATAAAGTTTCATTCTTTCTAAAGTAAAATTTCAAAACTAGATGCACTTAAAGCATCAGTGCCAGAAAATTGCCAGCTTTTTTTTTTTTTCTTCAGTTTTCTTAAGTAAGGGGATCCTAATGGTTCAATCAAAAAAATCAAATTAACAAAGTTTAAGTGACTTCCTATTCTCAGTAAAACTTTTTCCTTCCTTTAGTTGAGACGAGAGAAGATTGACCTTGAAAATACCTTGGAACAAGAACAGGAAGCACTAGTTAATCGTCTCTGGAAAAGGATGGACAAACTTGAAGCTGAAAAGCGGTTCGTTTAGTTTTGCAGTTTGGTCTGTGTGTGTGTTGGGGGCGGGGGGGGGGCTACACCTCTGGGTGTGATGGAGGAATATCAATGAGGCACTTTAATTCCTTGGTTGGTGCTTGTCATTTTCTCTTGCAAAATGAAAAATTTTGAAAGCCTTTGAACTACTATTGGTCACCTCATTTTCCCCCTTTTTTTTACTGTTTCAGAAGACTTTGTTTTCCTTTGGTGTAAAAAGAATGACAGAATTCACCTTTAAATTGTTCTGAAAGATGGTAGTAGACTCAAATGTCACCTTACTGAGTTGGCTTTCTCATTTGTTTTCTCACATGCTTAGGATATATGCATTATGTGCATCTCTAGAAGGCATTTTGCCAGGAAGACTGAGATTTTATTAGAAAAATTATGTTTGAAAATTTAGTGTAAAGAACACTGGTCTGTATTTAAAGTTGGGATACTTTGAGTTCAGTATATGTACATGAATGTGAAATGTCATTCAACAGCAAGAAATTCTTGAATCTCTTTGTACCAGATATTGTGTAACTTTTACTTTGCAGTACTGCATACATCGAGGTGGAAGGGACAGGGTTTAAAGAATGGCAGAGAGGTTCTCTATGCAGGATATGTGTATGAATGTATAGAAAGGAGTTTCTGAACAGTATTTATGAATGTTTCATCAGGATCATGTTTGTTAACCAAATTTTTTTCCGTAAGTATTTAGTTTGGATGAATATCCATAAATGGAGTTCATCTCTACATTGGTCAGCCACATACATATCACAAGCTTTAAGAAAAGTGAAAATTAGAAACATGTTTACAAGGAAATATTAAGCTGTAGTAGAATCAGCTCTGTTTTGCATCATTGTAGTGATACCGATTTGAGGTATTGTAGTGACACTAATAAATTGAATGTCGTAATATAGGGGTCACTGCAATACATAACAGTTTTCTTAATAAGAGCAAACCTGAAGGTAATTCACAATTTGCACTTAGTCAAAGTCAAAGGTAAAAAGTTAGAGGAAAACAAGTCACGTCACCCAGTAACTTAAAAGGAGTTATAGAGCTATGTTGTTAGTCTTTTGAGAACTCACTTGGAGGTTTTATATATGTTAGAATCAAATTATTGCACTGAGTAATAGGTCATTTTGTAGGTCAAAAGCTGTCAAATGTATTTTTATGTGATTCAAAAACCAAAAATAATTGGAGAAGGTGGCATCAGTAATGATTAACCCTGTAATTTAGGTGGTTTTTTTTTTTTGTTTGTTTGTTTGTTTGTTTGTTTTTTCATTTTTATCCCTGCTGTGGCCTGAAGCAAAGGGCCTTCAGCAGTTTGTGGTGCCCTCAGGATTATTTTTTTGGGAGGAAATTTTAGAAGTTGAGTCTCTTCACGTGATGCCATTCTCCAGGGATATTCATAGTACGTAGCACTTAAATTTCAACCCTTAGCACTGAGAGAGTGAAATTCCTTTAGTATGTCCGTGCCCTCAGACCAACATGTTGAACATCTGACAGCAGATAATTTTGCGTGCTTCTGTATGCCAGACATCATAATCAGAAGCAAATGTTAGAGAATTTTTAGTAATGCTTAATATCAGTGGCTAAGAAAAGAAAAAAGTAGGGTGAATCCTTTGGTACTTACTAGCTTTTGACCTAAATATCAGGTCAAGGCATCCAGAAGCCAGCATAAATGAGCAGGAGGGGCTTGCTATTAAAACAAACCCCTAGCTAGTAACTTCTTTGGTCTTTAGAAGGCAAACTTTTTTATTGTTGGAATTTTTTCTTTTTAATGAAGAATCCTGCAGGAGAAATTAGACCAGCCAGTTTCTGCTCCCCCATCACCTAGAGACATCTCCATGGAGATCGACTCTCCAGAAAACATGATGCGCCACATCAGGTTTTTAAAGAATGAGGTGGAGAGGCTGAAGAAGCAACTGAGAGCCGCCCAGTTACAACGTACGTAGCTTTTAGTCTTTTGTCCGTGGAATTAATGCATTTACCAACTACAGGGTTTCATCAATATTTACAGTTGAATTTCCATGAATCAAATTAATACTGAATTTAATTGCCAGTACATATTTATATAAGTATGTATAATCCTGGAATACATTTTTTTTTTTTTTAGTATTAATTTAAATTAGATTTTGAAGTATTATAGTCAGGCAGAGCAAATAGTGTAGAGGACAAGCTATTGATTCAATTTCAGGAGGAGAATAATTTCTGAGCATTTTAAGTCAGTAATACATTTGTTTGGGCCTTCCTATTTCTGCTTTTGGGGTGGTCACATTTATTCGGATATATAATATAGTGAAAAGTATGCAGGGAAAAATTAATTCTCCTTTTCACCTCTGATTCCCAGCCACTCAGTTTTCATAATTATCTGTTTTTAATGTTTTTCATATATATGTGTGAGTGTGCATGATATAAGCTTCTTTTATGTAATCAGCACATGAACATACTCTTCTTTTTTTCTGTGTTCACTTACTATAGCTTGTAATTTCTTTTCCTGTCGATACACACAGAGGTGCCTTACTCTTTTTTTTTTTTAAGACCATATAGTATTCAGTTATATTTCTATATTCCATAATGTATTTAACTAGTCCTATACCAATCAACCCTTTTTGGTTGAGATGTTGCAATCACAGTAAACATCTCTGTATGTACAGTTGATACCTCTGCAAAAACACTTTCAGGATAAGTTCCTGGAAGTGTCTTTGTTAGGTAAAATGCAAGTGCATTTGAAATTTCACTGATTCTGTTTTTCTTCTCAAATTCATTGCAAGTTCTAATCCAGTACTATATCAGATGTTACATCAAGATCATCTTTTAAAAAAATACAGTGTGTTAGTTTTCTATTGCTGATATAACAGTTGGCCATTAACTTAGTAGCCCAAAACTATACAAATTAAAAATCTGGAGGTCTGACATCTTACTGGGTAAAAATCAAGGTGTCAGCAGGGCTGGTTCCTTGTGAAAATCTCTAAGAGGAGAATCTGTTTCCTTGCTTCTCCTGCTTCTGGAGGTTGCCTGTGTGCTTTGACTCCTGGCACTGTCCTTGCATGTGTGCCACTTGCATTTCTGTCATACCTTTTTTCGCTCTGATCTTCATATCACCTCTTTTTAAGACCCTGTGATTACATTAAACCCACCCAGCTAATCCAGGATAAGCTCCCCATCTTAGGGTCCACAACTTAACCACATCTGCAAGGTCCCTTTTGCCATATAAAGTAACATATTACAGGTTTTAGTGACTAGAATATGAGCATCTTCAGGCAGCCATTATTCTGTCTGACTCCATCCAGGTTTCTGGGCTTATTGGTGGCTCCTGGTTCCCTGTAGTTTTTAACACAGATAATTGTGATGTGTACCCTGCTTGAGAACCACTACACATATCCTTTGGAAACAAATTGCGGAGTTCTTAAATATTAGTTTTTCAAAGGTTTTTTGAGTTTTTGCCAAGCTGTTGTCCTTTTAACACCTTTCTAAACTCCTTTCAGTGCCATCAGTTTGCATTATTCTATGTCTACTTGCCTTTGTGTGCCCCAGACAAACATTTTACAAGAAACTTGGAAAAAAGCTTATACTCTCAATACTATACTATTTGGGCTTTGAAGACACTACACATACCCACAGAGGCATCCATAAGTGTTATTTTGATACCTGGACAGAGAAAATTGAGCAGGTGGTACTTGAACCTCTTTCCCCAGTGGTTCTCAATTCCATTTGAACATTAAAATACCAGGGGAGTTGTTTATATACCAGAGGATAGCACTCATTCTCATGGATTCTGTTTTAATATTTTTGGGGGGCTGGGAGTATCTGAGTGTAGGTATAACTTGAAAAGGAATACATAATGGAAAGGCCACCTTTGTATCATCTGGGAACCACCTCTTTGAGTCTGGCAGTCACACTCAATTGATGTCATCTTTAGCTATTTCAATGTGGCTGAAGATGGCACTTAATACTATTTCAAGGGTGGGAAACACAGCTTAAGCCCTCAAGTGCTGGGCCCCTAAATCTAGGGAGGTCTGTGAGAGACAGAAAGTAGGTGACTCAAGCAAGTAAATCCAGTTTCTTAAATCAGGTGTGTCAATGTATAGGCAATAGGCACCCAGGGGACACCATGGTGTCACCCCTCTGTGCCTGGTCTTCTCTGTGCCTCTGGCTTCTGGGTCAGTTGCTGAAGTTCCAGGAAATTTTGCAACTATCACTGACTGACATTCTTGTTATGGATCATAGTTTAAGGATCACCTCTCCAATTTTCCAGATGCTAAAAGATTGCCATTTCATTTGAAAGACGGTATTTCCTCTTAAACTATCATTCCTGAAGCCTCATGAATCTAAATTCTTTGAAGCTTTCCTGTTTATTAAAATGAAAGGTAACTTGGTCCAACAGCCACTCTTCTCTCCTAGAAACAATAAATACTCGGAGGAGCCCTTCTAGTGCTTCCTGTAGAGCTAGTGAAAAATTCTGCATGCTTGCATATTTGGGATAAAATAATTTAAATCGTTTATATTAAAAGTGTACTTTGTAGATATTTTCCCAGCATGCCTTCAATTAAAGAGATTTTTGCATCTGGATTAGACAGCAGGGTTTCTGGTTATATTGAAAACAACTGAGGGATTTAGTATATTGTACACAGAATAGTGTTTAATAATTTTGGTATTTTTATATGAATTTTTACAATAAGGATTTTTTTAAGAGTTTTTGGTATTTTCTATAATGGTGCTGGCTTAGAAATCATGCAATACTCATCATCAAAAGTCATTTCCTAAATTCCAGACCTTCATTAAATTGCTTAAATAGGAAAGTAATTTGAGAGACTTGGAAGTTTTGAAGTGGGACCAGTTTAGGAGAGAGAAGTAGTCATGTGGCCTTCCGTGCTTTCCTTCTTTCTTAAATTTGAACCTAGCTAATAATAAGGAGCAGTAGCCTACAGGGCAGTCTCTCAGACATGGTCATGACCACTCTGAAAGTATCACTATTTTTCAGAAAAGAGCAGTAGGTGGAGGTTTTCCGTTTTCTGAGTCCTGTGACTGAGATAGGGTAAAAGACAGAAGCAAGAAGGGTAAACATTACTGGGTTATTTTGGTTACTTAGTAACAGCAGATTCTGAAGTAAACCAGAAAGGGAGTGGGTTGCCATACTTAGCCACTTGCCGGAATGGTGCTGGAGTTTACCAGGAACTCTGGCTCGGAGTAACCTCAAGGGCAGAGGTTGCTGTAGCTCCAGGTAATGCAGCAGCAGGAGACTCTAGAGCCCTTGAAGTGTCAATTCAGGAAGATTCATGTTCCTGAGGGGAGAGAATGTGATTGGCTCAGTCTGGGTCCAGCATTTAGATCCTGTGCTAGTCAGTCTGACCTGGGACTACAAAAGACAAACACAAAGCGGTGTTTGTCTTAAGCAAGATGCCGTCCAAAGAACCTAACTACATACAAACCTGCTGTTTGACACAAAAAAACTGTGTAAGCCAGGGACACTGTCACAGGCACAACAAAAATTAGTCTTATTTGAAGTAATAATCCCAAGTTATTTACTGTCTAGATTTCTGCTTAATAGGATTACAACTTATCTAGAGTGTCCTGGTACACTGGTTCCCCACCTGCCCCCACTGCAGGGCACCGGTGTGCTAACAATGTGGCAGGCGCTTTCTCACAGGAGACTCCCCACACTTTGCCTGGAGTTGCAGGAGAGCAGAACTGGTGCCTAGGGGAGAGTCCCTGGCTGAATCTCTCTCCCCACAGTTTCCCCTGCTCTCTCAGCTCCAGCAGAGTAGAGAGAGCTCCGGTGGCTACTAATTCCAGACTCAGCTACAACAACTCCACCATTTACTCTTCTACATCAAACACTTTAAAAAGCAAGTAAGTGAGACAAAGATGCCTAACCTTCCAATATTACTTCATTTTATATTTTTTCTCTAAATGCAAATGGTTGGTCAACTCTGATACTTGGGGTGACCTGTAAAACCAGATCTCATCTGTGTGGGATGAGAACTACTAACCCTCTGTCTATGGCATAGCTGCAGTCTCAAGATTTGAGTGTGACCGGGGAACACAGTTTGATTGAGATACCTTGCTTTTCAGATTCAGAGAAAATGGCCCAGTATTTGGAGGAGGAGCGGCACATGCGGGAAGAGAACTTGAGACTGCAGAGGAAGTTGCAGAGGGAAATGGAGAGGAGAGAAGCCCTCTGTCGGCAGCTTTCTGAGAGCGAGTCCAGCCTGGAAATGGATGATGAAAGGTGAGTATGTGTCTAATGAGCCTTGTTAAACAAACAGAAAAAGAAAACAACCCAGACTCCAAGAGACCTCCTTCACATCCTGTTAGATGTGAAAGGAGATGGTTCCACATTTATTTACTGGGATGATGAGTGCCACCACATCAAAGTAGATGCTTAGAATGGGAAAACAAAGATGATTGACTATTTTCCTTAAGCCCCAAAAGAAGAATTGCCTTTCCAAAATTATTTAGAGGGAAAGTGAGAGAGGTGGGGTTAGGAGTAGTGAGGCAGAGTTTACATTTGCTTTTGAATTAGTCTAATTCTGTGTTACTGTTTAAAACCTGGGACCATATTTGTTCATAGAGCAAGCCATAGTACAGACGGAGGAAACAAATGCATACAGAGATTAAAGAACCAGCAGGAAATAGGAGGCTAGTGACAGCCAGAAGCCTTGCCTTAAGACACTTGGTAACTTTTGAACTGTTTTGCAGTTACTTTTAAAAATAAAATGAATGCCGTGCCTTTATCTACTTAAACCTGTGTATTACTCAAGTCCCCTCATTATCCCACTGAGAAGTGGACTGAAGTAGAAGTCATACTGTACTAACCTAGAGGAAATGGCGTTTCTCTCACTTTCAGATTTTCTTTTCCCTCCTCACCTCCCTCTACTTGGGAGTGACCTGTTTGAGATAAGTATCAAATGTAAATTGAAAACATGTTGAATTGGGGCAGGAAACCTGCAATTAGGGAATTAGTTTTTCTCTGAACCGGATCATTTCTTCAAAGAAATGTCCCTGTTCTGGATTAGGGCTAACTTAGCCAGACAGTGTGAGAGGTGAGATGGAGCTTCTTTGGGGACCCCTCCAAAATAGCCCCAGGCAGCCAGTATCTGACCAGGGTCTGCTAATGACTATAATGAGGAGTACTGCCTGGTGATGCCAAAATACATTGCTTAAAAACATGCAGGCAGTATCAGCAAATGGGAACTCATTCTATTTCTGTTAGACCCCTGGAGCTAACAAGACTTGTGATCTATTTGCTGTGGACAATGGCATTAGCTTTTCAAGAAAAATGTGAGATTTTTTTAGAATGGAGGTCTATTTTTATAATTGAAACATTATACAAACAGAGCAGTGGGTCATCTATTTAAAACCTCTGTATGTTTCTGAATAAAGGGTATTCTTACACGTTTATATTCTAAAACTATCATCCTTAACTCTGAATTTCACTAATCTATTTCTGATAGTATGATTGCTCAAAGAGTGGTTTCTGAAATCCTTATCCTTAACTGAAAATCATTCCATTAAGAAGATAAAATATGAAATAACTTATACCATAAGACACAGAGCAGACCATGTGTTAACACACATACCATGTACTAAATTTCCAGTAAGACTTGCTCCAAAGGACAATTTCTTTGAATTATGGTGACAAAACTGGAACTCCTTCAGACTTCCAAGTTTTGTGTTTTTGGTTTTGTTTTGTTTTTTTCTCAGAACTTGTATTTACTCCAAAAGGTTTGCCTTTCCTTTTTAGGTCAGCTTATCCCAGTAGCATACAGTTGCCCAATAAAGATTTCTCTTCTCCCTACTGGGAATTATATAACACATTTGGGAGACAGAGAATAGATACATGAGATGTCTACGAGTGTGTTTATTGCTTGAAGACCAAGAGATAGTCTCGACTGCCTCACAGGATGTAGAATATGAGGAGAAACCCAACCTGGTGCCACCTTCCTGGGCTGCTGAAAGGATGGTAGAAAGAGCTGGTGGTGGGTAGCCCACACCAAGTTTGGGAACCTGGTTTTCTCCAAGTTGAATAAATGAGTGTTGAAATGGCTGTTTTAACATTTCTCTTGTGAATTGATTGATATCAGTGGTGGAGATCGTACTTGGGATAAAGATGTATGTTCATGTCACCATTCCATCCTTTGGTTGCAAGGCTGCTGAAGAATAACATGATGAAGTCTCTCAAGCAGAACTTTCTTTCATCAGTCTCTGTGCTTGTTCAAAAGTGAAAGCTGATGTTCCTTATGATCACACTTGCACATTTTCAAGTGTGATGTGATTTCTGAATCCAGAAGAGGTCAGGTCCAGCATTGTTTGGCTACTGTGTGCTGCAGTAGGCTCTCAGTGCTCATGTCTTTTTATTACTTTCTGCTGTTAAGCCAAGTTTGCTTTGTAGACAGTTGGCATCCAGTTCATGGAAATATATATCCTTAAGCTTTAATTTGATGGCATAAATCTTAGAAGATTGAGAAGGGTTTGACTTTCAAATAACAATTTAAACTTAGTCATTGAAATATGGATGTGTCTATAATTCTTAGGACAGTGGAGATGAATTTCTGCATAGCTGTTGTGATGAAAAGAACCTGGTCCTCTCTGTTGTATGATGCAGCTGTCACCAGGCCTCCACCCTGAGCTAGAACTTTCTGGATTTTCTAGCCCCTACCCCTGGGGGCTAGAGTTTGCCAAGCAGTGGAGCACTATGACACTATGACAGCAGTCATGCATTTTACACTCATCCCTTAGAGCATCATTTGCTAAACATTCACGAGATTTGATCCCCCAGGCATTTTCATAGGAGCATTCTAAAGAATGACTTGAAATGCAGGCAACTCTCATCAGCACCTTGTCTCCTCTTAGGTATTTTAATGAGATGTCTGCGCAAGGATTAAGACCTCGCACTGTGTCCAGCCCGATTCCTTACACACCTTCTCCAAGCTCAAGCAGGCCCATATCACCTGGTGAGTACATGTTCTCAGAAGTTTCTGAGACCGATCGATACCTGGTATGTTTGATACCCATTCCACAGTATGCTCCCTTTGCATAGAAATACCTTGTAAACCCAGAGACCCATGATGTGTTGTGTTTTGTTTTGCTGTTTTTTTTTTCCAGAAACATCAAAAACAAATCATTGTCAAGACTGATTCTTAGCTTGAAATTTTTAAACATAAATGTAATGTCAGCTACTGTTTGTCTTCAATTTTTTTTTAACCTTAAAGGAATTTAACTCCAAAAGACCTTTTTATTTATTTATTTTTTAAAGATTTATTTAATTTATTGATGCATACAAGAGCTGGGGTACAGGCCAGAGATGTGGGGGGTAAGAGGATTCACCAGAGACAGAGTGGGGAACAGAACAGGCATACAGACTGAAACACACTGCAGAGGGGAGCAGCGGGCAAGACAGGAGAGGTCTGCTTCACCATGTGGGTTGCTCCCTGGCTGGGGATGAAGTCGTGCTGCAGAGGCTACTATTGCGGTGCTTAACCCCTGGCGCCACCAGGAAGTCCCCAAAAGACCTTTTTAAAAGACTGTCTTGACTGTGGTTTTAATTGCTAATAGAGTGACGTTAATATTGATTTTGTTGAGAATTTTTGCATCTGTGTTCATCAGGAAAATTAGCCTGTCGTGTGTGTGTGTGTGTGTGTGTGTGTGTGTGTGTGTGTGTGTGTGTGTGTGTGTGTGTACGCACGTGCACAGGCGTGCATGCGTGCGTATGTTCTTTGTTTTGTTTTGGTGCCAGAGTGTTATCAGCCTCTTAAAATGTGTTTGGAAGCATTTCTTCTTTCTCGGTTTTTTTGAATAGTTTGAGAAGGATGGGCATTGATTTGTCTTTGGTTTAATAAACTCATTAGTGAAGCCATCAGTTTCAGGACTTTTGTGGGGTTTTCGATAAATTTTGATGTGTGCTTGGTTTGTTCTGGTTCTCCATTTCCTCCTGATTCAATCTTGGATAGTTGTGTAATTCTAAGAATTTGTCCATCTCTTAGATTATTCACCTTACATGCATAAAAATGTCCATAATAATCTCTTATGATCTTCCATATTTCTGAAATGTCTATTGTAGTTTGTCCTGTTTTTTAATCTTAGAGTTGTCTCTCCTTTTTTTACTTTGCAAGTCTTGCTAAATGTTTGCCTTTCAAAGATCAGCTTTTGTTTTCATTGGTCTTTTGTACTGTCTTTTTAATATTGTTTTATTTTTGCACAAGTTTTTCTTTCCTCACTTTTGGTTTTGTTTTGTTTTTCTAGTTCCTTAAGGTGGGAGGTAAGATTATTTGAGTCTGGTTTCTTGATGTGGGACTGTATTGACATGATAATATTTTACTATTCAAGTGTCTCTTCTTCCTACCCCCATCTATTACAAGTTTTCTTTGGGTGAATTTCATAGGGATTATACACCTTGGTATCTTGTTTTATTTTAGTTAATATGTTTTTCATGAATTATTTTTAGTAAATTATCTTTTAAAGTATAGTCTTGAGTTTGTGAACACTGAAATGAATCTTAAAAATTTTACTTAATGCATTTCTATATCTAAGCAAGAGAAATTTTTTCAGCAATAGCTTCATAAAGTCACAGCTGCTATTTAGAAGACTAGAGTTTTGGATTTGGCTTTTTCAACATAGGGTTTTAGATTATTAACACTTACTATTTCCCTGAGCTAGAGGGTCTGATGCATGATGATTAGAACTTAAGAAAATAAAAATTTATATAGTTATGGGCCTCTGAGAGTTTATAATCAAAAGGGGAAATATAAGAAAGAAGCTTTTAATACTAGGCAAAAAGTAATGAAATTTACATATTTTATGTCCCCGCAGAAGGTAAGTAAACCATGGAACATCCACTCAATGGAATACTATTCAACCATAAAAAAAATTGACTATTGAGATGTGATAATTTGAGTGAATTGGAGGGGTGTTAGGACGAATGAAAGCAGCTGATCTCAAAAGGGTTCAATATTGTATGATTTCATTTACATAGCATTCTCAAAGTGAGAAAATTACAATGATGGAGAATGCAGTCATTACCAAAAGTTAGGATTAGAGGGAAGGTATGATTTTAAAGGGATTAATAAAGGGGTGTATTTTTGTAATGATGGAACATTTTGTATTCTAATAATGGTTGAGTTACTCTAATGTATACATGTGCTAAAACTCCATCCATTTGTACACACACAAAGATTACAATATACACTGATGAAATCCAAATAAAATCTCTACCTTAGTTGTTAGTATTGTACCATGTCCAGTTTCCTGGTTTTGACAAAGCTGTGGTTATGTAAGATATCTTTGGGGGAAGCTAAATGAGGGATACATGGGAACCTTTAGTATTTTTGCATCTTCTTATGAATCATATATTTAAAAATAAAAAGTAAAATTTTTAAAAAGCTAAATTGTGTAAAAGGAAATTTAGAGAGAGAGCTTCCAAATTAGATTTTGAGATGGGATTCCCTTCAAAAAGGGGTTAGTGGAGTTGAAACCTAATGAGCCCTTGCTTTGTACCAGATACTTGGAGCACCTGGTGATATCAACTCATTTCATCCTCAAGCAACCTTGTGAGTTAAATGATCTAAAGTCCACTATCACTCAGTACCAAGTGCAGCAGCTTATGTCCAAGGTAATGTGGCAGTTTGTTCTGGACTCTGTGCCTTTCTAAAGGCAGAGGACACTATGAACTGAGATGCAGAGGTCAGAATCAAGAGCAATAAGTTCTCTGTGGTTCTGTTCACAGGCTGCTCTGAGGCTCTACTTCCTCAAGATTCTGATTCATCTGTTTGTGGTTGGGTAAGGGTTTTCATACACAGTGTCAGAGAACGCTGACCTAGAGAATCAGGAGATAGTTTGGAGTCAGATGCAGAAGCCCTATATAATTGCCAGAGGATTTTTTTTTTTTTTTTTTTAAGCTAGGGAGTGGAGGATCTTCAAAGTTTCTTGATTAGTGGTTTGACTGGTTTATAATTAAAATTGGAAATAATTACCCTAGTAATTTTACAAAATAAGCCAGAATTTTTTTTTTCTTCCTTTTTATTTTCTTTTTTTCCTTTTTTTTTCCTTCTTTCCCCCCCCCCAGATTTTTTTTTTTTTTATAAATTGAACTCCCTAAGCTTTTCTGTCTGCAGGTAAGGATCCATTAGGATCCACCTTCATATCCTTTCTCCTAAATTTCATCACTTTAATAAGAAAATAGAATTAGTTCCCCAAAGCTGTTCAAAAAAAATTCTTTCTCCCAGCTGATAAAACACCACAGTAAATTGCCAGTTACCTCCCAAAATGGTACTTTAGGCCAGACCTCACTTTTGTAAATGTGAACTAACAATCTGTAATTGAAAATGGAAAGCAGTACTAGTTGATCATCAAACCAAGAAATACTTAGCATGAGCTGTTCTGGGACAGGACAACAAAAGTTAGGCTTGGTGACTCCATGTGTCAGTGTGACTTCAAAAGATGGCTTTGAAAAGTGTCCTCAACAGATTGGACTTTATGTAACTTAGAAAAGAGGTAAATGGAGTTCAAGCTTCTTGGCATCCAATAGCTGATCTTAGGTGTGAAGTGTTGACAATAGATTCTTTAATTTGTGCCTTTGTTTCCATTTTCATTCAATAATTAATTTAAAAATTACCCCGTGTTTGATAACCATGGTAGATGGTTGAGAACTCCAAGATGTAAAGTGACTTTTATGTGGTGACTAGTAAGTGATGCCTAGACCCATGAGCACCTAACTGCAAAGGTCAGGGCTGCATGGCTTCCACCTGGGTGTTGGTACTTTAGGAATGCTTGATAAACATAACTGTGCAGACCCCAATCCAGACTTACTAATAGTAGAGCAAAGATGGGAACTGTGTACTTTTTTGAAACTTTAAGGATGATTCTAGGGTCCTAAATGAAAACTGTGCATAATAATGAAATGGGCTGGTGGGGTTTTTTCATTGAATATCCTGAAATGCAGAGTTCTCAGTGGTGATTTTGTTTGCCTTTGTGACTTTTACACACACACATGCACATACACACAAGTGGTATTTTGTTACTATTGGTGTGTCTTATAATACTTCCCCTGTTCTTTTATCTGGCTTTTTGCCCCTCAGCTCTGTTTTTTCCAGCTTTGTTCTTGTGTTTTTCTCATCGTCTTTCGACTACATCTCAGTTGAATTCCTGGCACGGATTTATTTTTTTTTTTAATTTAATAAAAGCATTTAACACGAGATCTACCTTCCTAACAAAATTTTATTTCTATAATTCAGTATTTGTATTTGTAGGCACAGTGTTTTACACAGCAGATCTAGAGAACTGTCGCAATTAGGGTACTGAAACTTTTTGCTCACTGAATAATGATTTTGCATTCCTTCTTATGCCAGCCCTTGGTAACCACCATTCTGTTGATATTCTCTGCTCCTATGAGTTTGAGTTTCCTCATATAGGTGGACTCGTGCAGTGTTTGTCCTTCTGTGCCTGGTTTATAATATCATTAGCATAATGTCCTCCTGGTTCATCCCATGTTGTCAAACATAATGGCATGTCCTTTTTAAGGCTAAAAAAGTCCTGATTTCAACTCTTTCAATAAATATCCAGAATTGGGATTCCTGATTACAGTAGTGCACGAGGGTTCCCTTTTCTTCATACCCTTGGCAACACTTAAACTTTATTTATTTTGTAAGGATGGCCCAACTAACAGGTAGGTGTCAGATGCTATCTCATTATGGTTTTGATTTGCATTTCTCTCACGGTTAGTAATATTAAGCTTTTTTCCCATATACCTGTTGGCCACCTGTATGCCTTTTTTTTTTTTAATGCCTATTATTCAGTTGAGTCATGTATTGGCTACTGAGTTGTAGGAGTTCTGTATATTTGGGTACTAACCCTTCATCTGATAAATTGTTTGCAAACATTTTCTCCCATTCCATAAGTTAGCCTTTTTATTCTGTGGATAGTTTCCTTTGCTGAGCAAAACCTTTTCCGTTTGATGTAGTTCCACTTGTCTATTTTTGCCTTCATTGCCTGTGCTTTTAGTGGGAAATATCTGAGAAATTATAGTTTCGGGTCTTATATTTAAGTTGTTAATCTATTTTGAGTGGTTTTTGTATGTGGTATAAGATGGGGGTCCTGATCCGCTCTATTGCAGGTGGATATCTAGTTTCTAGTTTTTCTGGTATCAGTTGTGTAAGAGACTGTCCTTTCCCCATGGTGTATTCTTGGCATCCTTGTTGGAGATCATGTGACCATTTATGCAAGGTCTTATTCCTGGGCTCTCTGGTCTGTTCCAGACCCTTTATTGCCTATCCTTTATTATCCAGCAGACCACTTAAGGAGCCCACTAATCACCTTACCTGTTTCCATTTCTGTTGGTGACTGAGAACTGCATTCGAAAGTCTCATAACTGGTTGGAGACCCAAATGATTGGGTTTGAAATAATACTTACAAGTTGTTGTTCTATTTCAGGTCTGTCGTATACCGGTCATACAGTTGGTTTCACGCCACCAACTTCACTGACTAGAGCCGGAATGTCTTATTACAATTCCCCTGGTCTTCATGTGCAGCATATGGGAGCATCCCATGGGATCACAGTAAGTATTCACAGGGCAGGAAGCAGCTCTTTACACTTGATGGGGGTAGCAGCTGGTCCTCCCTGGGACACCAGGTTGAAGCCCTTAGACATCAGTTCTAACATTTTCTTCTGCCCACCCCTGTCATTTTATCTTAAAACCGTAGCGACTTCCCAGTGGTTGGATACTGAATTCTGGGGTTGAAACTAAAGTGTTTCTTAGGGGGCAAACCTTCAACTTCACTTTCTGTGAAAAATTGCCCTATGTGAAATGTAATTTGGACTCTATCCAATGCCTCAATTGAATTCTGGCCAGCTCCTTGCCATTACAAATTATAGTTGGTTTCCATAATGTCCAAGATATTTATTGTCTGTACCACCCCACCTTACTTATCCTTAATCCTCAGTGTTCTCCCTGAAATTAGCTCTTTTTCTTACAAAGAATTTTTTCCTGGAATTAGAAGCAACCCTCTGAGGGCATTTTTTTTTTTTCGTTAGACCTGATTCTTTGATTGATTAATAATAGTGATTGGAAATGTACCGGGGGTAAAGAATAGGAGAGAATGAAAGATATTCCAAATAAAGGGAATTTTTAAACAACTCTACAAAAGCATGTGACATATTTCTGAATTTTGTTGCAGGTTTAATGGGCTTTATGTTATAGCAGAAATGTTTTTGGTTTAGCTGTTGCTTTCAGGATGTTAAATTCTTGTTTTGAGTTGTAAAGGGAACTGGGGACATAGAACTGACAGAAGAGTTCAGCACATGACAGAAAAGGGAGCACAGGACAGCCAGTTTTTAAGGTTAGGACCATCTCATTGAAGAGTTTAAGTTCAGTAGTTTGCTCAGTGCACATTTCATACTAATTTCACACAGCCTATTCATAGGCAGTAGGTGTAACTGCTACCTGGTCTTCATGTTTTTGTTGCTAGTTCAGAGACCAATAGGGATGGACAAGGACATCACCGCTAGTTTCTTGTCTTTGGTCAGCTGCACACTAGCCTCAGCTCTGAGTGAGACTGTTACATAGAAACAAGCTGTCTTTGCCTAGACTGACCACCGCTCCTGTCGTCTCCACAGAGGCCTTCACCACGGAGAAGCAACAGCCCTGACAAATTCAAACGGCCCACGCCACCTCCATCTCCTAACACACAGACCCCAGTCCAGCCACCTCCACCTCCGCCTCCGCCGCCCATGCAGCCCGCGGTCCCCTCGGCAGCCACCTCGCAGCCCGCCCCTTCGCAACATTCGGTGCATCCGTCCTCCCAGCCTTAATGCATGTGCTTAGTCTGAATCTCATGTTGGGACTCATACAGTGGAGCCATCTACTCAATGCCAAAGGCTTCCTCCCCTGGCATATTTGGATCTGACTTATTTGCACTGAGGTTATCTAGGCTTCACTATTAATTGTGTTGTAAATGTTTGTCGGAAACGCAGCCAGTGTTGTGGGTCTACAACACTAAACAGACGACTTTTTCCATCAGTGTTTTACTTGAATCTCCATGTACATCCATTCCCTGGCTGGAACATTTGCTATTCAATATTTGGTAATTCAGCAACAGTGTGCAATTTTTGCTTGGCCCCAGAGCTTCATTTTCCTGGCTTTTAGGTTTGTAAAATAAAAAGGGATATCTTTTTTATATTTTTTTTTTCATGAATTTGCAGAAAATTCCCGCACTGTTATTACCCACCCCTCATGGTATTTACCAGACATACCAATAACTCAGCACTACAATTCAAACCTTTGAAAAATCTAGCTTTTGGTGTAGAATGCAAAGTTAGATGGATCAGTGCCCAAGTCAATATACTGTTTAATAGAGCTTTCTACAGATACACTTTTTATAGGTTATTTTCAGGATATATCAACGTCCTCGTCTCTGATAAAACAGATAGCCTAAGTAGTGGATATGGCTGTACCAAACATGAGATGGATAATTACTGTATATTAAGGTGTGATTCTTTCATCATCTGTAATGTTAATCTACCCAAAATGGGCCCCCCCCACCCCCCACACATGAGTCGATAAATGTTGTCCTGCCCGCCAGTGGTTGCGATGGCTGATTAGAATGTGCTATTTGATTTCTGCTGCAGAAGGCGATGTGATTGTAACTAAACAGCTATTTTCCCTTTCCATTCATTGTTTGTGTTCCCCTGAAATAGAGTTTGAACAAATATTTTAAAGGTGCAGAAATACTATTAGAAAATACTATTTGAAACGAACATTATAGGAATATCTTGGCTTCATGGCCAGAAGATACTTTATTGCTTGACAGAGAAGTAAACAGGTGTAGAGGAAAGTAGCACATTAGCATTGATGACTGCTTATTTCCCCAGTATAAGCAAGTGCAGTGTATAAAGAAGTATATTCTGAATACATTATTCCCATTCGTTTAGCACAAATAAATTGTTTGGTTTCACTTTGAAGTGGAACACTGTGAGTCACTCATTTCTTAATACTTGCCACATCTTTATTTTTGCTTTTCAGCAGTTACTGTTTTGTACTTTGGTAGTAAAGTGATTTTTACCACCTGTGTTTGCATATTTATATATGCTGTGGATGAAAATAACTTACTAGAGAATGTATATTTTATGATGAGAATGTGTATCTGTTGGATATAATCAGAACTGAAAATTAATTTATCAGTAATTTTTAAGAGTCCATGTTTTGTGACAACCATCTCTAATAGCTAGCTCTTTGTTCAACACACTCCTAAAAATAAGGAACCATGACATTGTAGATATTTAATATTGTACAGTATAGAAACCTCCATTTTTGCCTTCGAATGCATATTTAAGAGTTACAGAAAGAAAAATGTCTCGTTGGATAATAGTGTTTGACTAGCATTTTAAGAATTTGAGAGTAAAAGCAACAATAGGATTTTTCACCTCTTCCTGCTTCCACCCCCAAACTGAGAACATCACTCAGTTGTTTGGAAGATACCGTACATCTCTATAATTTTATTTATGATGTCTCTGTAATATACATAATCGTAGTTCTCAAGTATGGGGAAGAAGTTTGGCATTTAGTTATTGAGGCTGTCACTTTTTAATTCTATCAGACGGAATCATTTCAAACCCGGGGATTTCACCAACAGCTCCCTCCTGGTACATTGCCATTCCGAGGAATTCTGAGAGGAGGCAAAGAAAAATTGCCTTCATGGTACAGTTCTCGGTTTTTCTTATAGGAGAAATATGGTATATGTTTACAAGACTCTTTATAAGATTACAGACTTCAAAGCTGTTGGAATAGTGTCTTGCACGCAGAGTTCATAATGTAATGATCTTCCTTCCTCTTCCTATCTATTTAGTTACCTCCTGAAAGCACAAAAGTCAAAACATTGCCATATGGTGAATAAAAAAGCACTTGGAGTGAGCAAACAGTTCCTGATAAGTATCTTTTTGTGACAGGTTCTTGATATTCAGATAGAAATGTAGTGCTGGTTCTCCTCATTTCATTGAAAACAAAGCCCAGCTCCTTCAAACAGCACTTTCAACCTTAATCTAGTTGCCTCTCCCATTGAACATTCAGAATTGATAGAACAAACACTACGATTTTGAACTCATGCTGTTTCATGTCCTTTTAAGGTATTTTAGGACCCAGTGTGGAGACTGGGCAATACCTACTAGGACAAGTTCTTGGCAATTGTTTAGTCACCAGGAACCCAAAAGGTTTCTGACCTGAGCCCATGGAGGCAAGATCCTCCTTGCCCACGGGAAGCGGGTTTAACCTCGGGTCCTTCTCATGAGGGCTGAACGTGGTTACTGCCATTCCTGTCGCCCGCCTGCCCAGAAGGCCTTTGTAAAATCAGTAGCCATCCAGAAGGCAGGCCGGAGCCGGCGTTGCTTCATTTTCCTGTCTTGCTGACAGAGACCCTTGGCTACCACTGTGCTGCTAATAGGATAAATACTCTGTTGCCAGATGACCATGCCTTTTATACAAAACCAAATTACCTAATACCTGACACCTCTCTGGGCTCTGAACTGCTTTCTCTCATCAAGCATGCTGGCCTTCTAGACAGAATGGTAGAAATTTGGCAGATGTTGGAAGTATTTAAGATTTAATTTAACATGCTCCTTTGTTGATTAAAAGGAGTTTTAAATTCTGAGCTCCTGACCAGCAACCATGGAATGAATTGTGTGACCAGAATGTGGCTTTGACACCAAGTGCTGCTGTCCCTATGTAATTGGCTTCTAACAGATTCGACCAGAAATAATTGATAATGTGAATTTTTGTTGACTCTTCGATTGTAGGAAAACAGATATGTATCGCTCTTTATTACAAAGACACGAACTTTGCCTGCACCAAGCCTTGCTTGTAGAGGATCCTGGAGAAGGCAGGAAAGAGCATTGTTACTTGTGCTTTGAGAGCTTGATATTTGTATCTTTACAGAAGAAATATTTCTGTGTAACTTGATCTTCTGTCTAGTACTTGTCTTATAGGTAACCAACACTGAAAACTTTGTAGTGATGACTACCAAAGAAATACCTAGCAAAACAACCTTTTATTTCCAAATTATTAAAGAGCCAGCCATTGACGCTGCTACGTAAGTTCCATGCTCAAGAGCCATTGTAAGAGATTAAGGGTTTTTTAGGTTTTTGTTTTCTTTTTTCTCTTTAGTTTTTTGATAAAACATACACACACAGCTGTTAGCTTAAAATGATGGGGAGCATTTTCCAGGTGCTCAGCAGTTGTGATTAACTGCCAAGCTGTGGTTGCCTCTTGCCAGGCAATTGAAGGAATCCTGTGTTCTTGATAGCGTGGGTGCTGTGTGTGTGCGAGTGTGCGTGTGTGCATTCATGCCTTAACTCTGGTTACTGCTCAACTTTAGTTCTTGATTTAGTCTGCACCGTCATCTAGATTGTATTGTACATCTCGATCTGAACTTCATCCTGGCAAAAACAAAGTTGCAGGCACAACAGTTTAAGAATGCATTCCTCCGGAAGAGTTTGGTCCAGGTTGACCCTGAGCCGCCTTTGGACTTTATTTGGAACTTAGCATGGAAAGCAAAAGTGGGCTGTCGAACACAAAGACACCAACAAGGAAGAAAGGAGAACCGAGTGGAGCATGACTTTTGCCTCTGCCTATCTGTGCGCACATCTGTTCACGATAGCTTGTCTACAACTTGACTAGGTTGGAGTTCTGGTAATAGTGGCGATCTTGAAATTCTTGGTCAGAGTTTAGAGAGATGTAAGACTTCCAATTAATGTCTTATTTACTTTATGTTGATTAGTCTTTGATACATGTGCTGAATCAGAAACCTAAATAAAGATAATTTTTTAAAATGTACCTCATGAGCCTTAAATCCTCTCTCTTTCTAGTCCTTGAGTCAGAAATGAACATTGTTTCCCCCTTGTTTCTGAGAGACCATTTGAACGCTATATACTAAAGTCTGCCTTAGCAAGAAAATTTGTGAGGAGGATACAAAAAGAGCTGGTACTGTACTATTTATCAGGGTGCTTGTTGCTTGGACGTCTTTTGAGTATTTGAAAATTCACTCATTTTTATACTGTTGATATTGTGTTCTATTTCAATTTAAAACTAAAGAGATGAGGGCTTTCCAGTTGGCGCAAGAGGTTAAGACGCAACCTATGAAGATATCTGCAGCCACTGCAGCATGAATTTGATCCCCAGCCGTCCAGGGAGATACCCAGGGAGATACCCACATGGCACAGCAGACCTCTTCTGTCTCCCCGGCTGTTTCCCTCAAGCAGTGCATTTCAGTCAATTCCGTTCCCCACCCTGTCTCTGGTGAATCCTCTCACCCCCAACACCTCTGGATTGTACCCCAGTTCTTATATGCATAAATAAATAAATCTTTAGGGCCTCCCTGGTGGTGCAGCGGTTGAACGCTGGGTTATGAAGCTGCCCGCAACCTCTACAGCGCGAGTTTGATCCCCGACCTCCGGCGAGGGTCCCACATGGCGCACAGACCTCTCCTGCAGCCCGCTGCTCCCCTCAGCAGTGTACTTTGTCAGTCTGCCTGCTCTGCTCTCCCCTCTGGCTCTGTTGATTTCTCTCACCCTCCCCCACTTCTGACAGTACCCAGTGCGTGCATAATAAATAAATAAAACTTTTAAAATAATAATAAAATAAATCTTTAAAAAAAATAAGGAAATGATGAAGAGGAAGGGCACACATTCCTAAAATGTTAGTCACACATATATATTAGCACACACACGCATTCAGGCTGTGAACTCACACCCAGTATATTAGAGCTGGTTAACATCTTTATTCATTTGATTTTCTCCTCCCACTTTTTGGGAGGATTGTTTTTATGTTCAGTTTTAAGTTTCAGTACCAATTCTAAAGAGGCCAGGCAGTCTCTGGAATGCTGCTAAAGTGAGACACTTGTGATAAAAGCCTGCAGTGCAGCCACTCACATAGGAAGACACGGACTAATACCTTCCACATCCCTTCATGTAGGAAGAAACTTAGAATAGTATTTGAGGTAATGTCTCACAGTTATCTGGGCATGTGTGTTTTGTCGGGTGCATTTTAGTAAGCCGCTAGCACTTGGAATCCATGTTCTGTGGAGTGAAAACACGAGACTTAGCAAGATCAGTCTGACAAGAATGCAGTTATCTTGTGAGTACAAACCTTAAATTCAGGCAGGCCCTTACCTATATAAAAGTACTAAATAGTGTTAGTTTTGACTCACTTTGGCTTAAAATTTCATGTTAACAATTAGTTAATAAAATGAGTTTAGTTTATCTGACAAACTGAAGTAACCAAAATCTCAAAAGGCCTCTCTCTACCTTAGTTGTGACTTAATGAGAATACTGACCAGGAGTTCCCCTGACCTCTGCATTCAGGTCTTTGCTTCATCTACCAAACTGAGTTTTCTAGTCTATAATGAGGATAGCTCTTCTGACTTCAGATAGAAAGTTTAGGTAGTTTGGGGAAAACAGGATTTAAAGTGCTTAAACAAGAAAGTAGTTTTAAATTGTGTGTATACTTTTTTTTCCCCTCATAATAACACTTCAGAGTTTGTGCCCATATGGTACTTCTAAAATTGAAGTGGTTAGTTTAGAATATTTGTTTATGTAAAACTACATAAATCTGGGTTTTGACATATAGGCTATTTAATAAAAAAAAAAATGTGAAAAGTGTAACTGTATTTAGTCATTGATGTGTAATCCAGACCCAAACTTTTAATATTTTATATAATTCTTATATCATTTTTCATTTTTGCACAATGTATGCATTTTCATTTTGGTTATATTTCCCATACAATTCCCACGCCCCCCTAATTTTGACTCTAATCCTTCCTCTCCCCGCCCCCTGCCCCTGTAGTGTGTCTCTGGTTTACAGTTGCTTGTTGATTTTGATTTTTACTTTGTATTAGGTAGTCTTTTTCCTGCTCCCTTATTTAGGTTTTCTAAATTCCTGCTATGAGTGAGACCATCCGGTATTTTTCTTTCTCTTTTTCTTTCTGACTTATTTCGCTGAGCATGATCCCTTCTAGCTCCATCCATGTTGCTGCAAACTGCATGTGTTTATCTTTTTTGATTGCTGAGTAATAGTCCATGGTGTATATGTACCACATCTTCTTGATCCAGTCATCTATTTTTGGGCATTTGGGTTGTTTCCAAAGCTTAGCTATTGTAAATAGTGCTGCTATAAACATAGGGGTGCAGGTGCCCTTTGGAATTAATGTTTCTGTGTCATTTGGGTAAATACCTAAGAGTGGAGTTGCTGGATCATATGGAAGCTCTATCTTTAGTACAGACCCAAACTTTTTAATATTCTTAGAAATAGAGAAAGAAGTGCATAGCAAATTATATTTTCTGTTTGATGTTTATGTTGACACAAGCAAATTGAATTCCTGCCCTTATTTCCATAGTACATTCAATGCTATTAAATATATTGAGTTCCTTTTCTGAGATCTTGTCTTAAACCCTTCTAATGACTTAGTGCAACTTGTATGATAACTAACATCTCCAATAAGAGATTTTAGTAATCTTAAAATTTTTCATCTTAAAAAAATGAAAAAGCCAGACTCTGAAGTAATTGGATGATAGAATTAGTGGACAAGAATGTGAAAAGTTGTCATAACCATTCTCCATGTGTTTAGGAAAGCAAAGTGAGCATGATGAGAAAAAGGGAAAATATATAAAAGACTCATTGAATTTCTGGAGATAAAAAAAATCTGAAATTCAAAACAACAAAAATACTCTAAGTCTTTGATGGATGTAGGTTTACGTTCTTTAAATGTTCCTGTGAGACTTGGAAAGACAGCTCCTGAGATTCAAGTTCAGCGTATTTGACCTTTTCTCCTGTAACCTTCCCCTGAGGGTAACTATGCAGAGTTCTGAAGTATCACTGTTGGGAAATTATTAACATCAGAAGCTGATTTACAACTCTTCTTAGTCACTTTAATGTGGGACATGAAGCCTCAAGGTGTGAGGTAGCCATATCCAGTGCAGTGTCATGTGAGGTCAAGTCTGGTCTAAGTCTAGTTTCTGAGCTTCAGTTTCCTCGCTTATAAAATGGGAACGAGACTTGGATCATTAGGATCAAATGAATATATTAAGACTTCAGAAGGTGTAAGATTCTTTGTATCTCAATGTCTTGACTATTTCCGATATTTCATTCATTCCACAAATATTTTAATACGTGAATTACGCCACCATTATGTATTCAGCACAGGGCCATGGGAAGCATATTGCAGTTTCGCTCACATTCCTGCCAGTTTACAAGTGGGAGAGTTGTGACTGCGAAAGCAGCAAGGTGGCATCCACACAGCTTAGAAGAGCGGCATGGTCAGGGAAGACTTGGAAGAAACTGACCTTTAAGCAGATGCTTGAAGAACAGGTGGGATTTGGGTGAGGAGCATTGGGGACAGAGGGAACACCAAAAACCTGAGTATATGAGCATTGACCCAAATGGATTCCATTGGATGCAGAGCACTCACTTGGGAGATGATCCCAGGAAGTAGGGGGGGAAGTGGAGAAAGTGAGACCAGCAAAGAGAATGTTGACTAGCCCATTAGCTTATGGACTGCTGGATTTTATTCCAGTCCTCAAGGAATAATTTAGCACATGCCTCAGAATTGTTGCACCAGAGGACAGGATTGGTGGGACTTGAATTCACCATTCCTTTCACCTATTGGTCCAAGGTAACCCTGGGGAGAATGATCCCATGCTTGGGTTTGATCCCACTGAATGATCCCACTCAGCTGGGTTGTACCAGAGCCTGCCTTGAAAACCAGAGGAGATAGAGCCAAGGGTGGCTGTCCTATGATTGATGGGGATGCTGAGAAAGCACATGAGTGTTCATGGTGACATCAGGTGGGCCTCCGGGGTATGACAACAGGTGGGCCTCCAGTTCCACCACAGCTCTCCTGGGAGCTAAAGAGCTCTCACCATCATTTAGTTTCAGCTGAATTGTTTATGAACAAAATTCATTTTTCACTTTTCTTTTCCTATGGCTACATTGAGTAATAACTGGTAATGTCATATTTTGATATATGTACATATTGTGAAATGATTCACCCCCAGAAGATTGGTCTACACATCCATTATCTCACATAGTTACAATGTAAGAAAATTTAAATACCTTTTTCTTTTAAATGAAGATTTTTATTTAAAAAATAAATCCTTACTTGTCTTGGAAAAATAAGACTGAGATAGGACATTGGCCCTCCACTGCCGTCAGCCAGGCCTGAGCCACAGGGGTACCGAGAGCAGAGGGCAAGCGCCCCTCTTCTGTGTTACCGTGTTCATCCCACCCACCTCACAAGTTATTACTGGGTGGTCCCACCCAGCTTTTGCGATTGTCAACCATGGCATTAGGGTATTTGAGAGACAGGTTTGATATGGCTAGAGCTGTTGTGTACACGATAAAGAAAAAAGGGAAAGACTAAGGCAGTGAGGAGTGGTCATTGAAGACCAGTTTGGAGAGGGGCCTACACCAGAATTCTCTAGCACAAGTTCTGCTAATAGTAAAGTGATATTTAGAAACACAGGGCTATGGGGCCTCCCTGATGGTAAAAGGGGTTAAGCACTGCACTATGAAGCAATCCGCAGCCTCTGCAGCACGAGTTCGATCCCCAGCCGGCCAGGGAGCAATCCACATGGCGCAGCAGACCTCTCCTGACTCACCCGCTGCTCCCCTCAGCAGTGTATTTCAGTCAGTCTGCCTGTTCTGTTCCCCGCTCTGTCTCTGGTGAATCCTCTTACTCCCCACATCTCTGGCCTGTACCCCAGCTCTTGCATGCATAAATAAATAAATCTTTTTTAAAAAAAAGAAAGAAAGAAAGAAACACAGGGTTGTGGTAAATCTGT